CTGTGACATCCCCATTTTCACGGCCAGAAAAGACCGATTTGTTTATGCTTTAATTTAAAAATCAGAGTATATTTTTAAAGAAATATATTGCGGAATTTGTTCCCAGAAAAACATGATAAATATATTATCAAAGCATTTCCGAAGAAATATATTTTGTTCATATTAAAACTTTGGGATGTCATCGTCAATACCGAAACAAAATCATAAACAGAACTTACATTCGTTATCACTAATGATTTATATCTCCTTAATCTCTCAGTGTAAAGTAGCTTGGTATTTATACCTGTGATACAAATAAACTGAGTAGTTCAGGTTGGGAAACCTGGTGAGTACATAGGGTTTTCAACCCACAATAATATAATTATTATGTTCCATCAAGCAAATAACCCAATTACCCATCCCTATTATCTTCTTTATTCCTAAGTACCTTCCCTAAAGATTTATCATAAGGTCCATCTCCAACATCGTATTTACCTTTCATCTCCTTACATCACATTTCCTTATATGTTTATTCCTAAGGAATTTTCCTAAGGATCATCGCCTACATCACATAGACAGTACTGATTCGGGGATTACTCCCTCAATACGTGTCCAGTAAGGGTTAGGGTATCATCGCATGAATACGTAGTTACAACATCGCCTGAACTCGTAATTCATAGTAAGGGGTTAGAGTATCATCGCATGAATACGTAGTTACAACATCGCCTGAACTCGTAATTCATCACCTACAGGTTATGAGCCCGCTGGTGTTTCCACATAACTGTCTAGAATAGTCTGTGGTCGCCATCTATACTCTGGTAGATGACTACATCGCCGATCAAGGTTATGGTATCTCTTCTCATCTCACATCACCTATTTATCATCACCTATCTATCATCACCTAATTATCATCACCTTTTTATCATCTCCTAATTATCATCACTTTTCTATCATCACCTAATCATTATCACCTTTCTATCATCACTTATCTATCATCACCTGTTGCTACCCAATATATTTATAAGTATAAAATTACGTATACAGTTTAAATCACGTAAACATGTATAAATCGTTTATCCAGCATAGATATCAAGAACACAGATAATATGCACACATAACACGTAATTTATATTAAATACTTCATATCTATGCGTAAGATGAAAGTAACTATGCACTCACCTTAGCAGCGTGAGTTGATAGAATCTAACTAGAAACGGTCAGCGCTTCGTGATCGTCGGTTTCGGGACGCGGAACGGCTTCAAAAAAACGAGAGAGAAAGAAAGTAGAAGGTGTAAGGAATGAAAGGGTCTTGATCGTTGTTTATAGGCTGTTCTGGGCCCATTCACGTCGTGAACATGAGTCATATCGTAGATTTAACACATGTTTTCTAGCCTCGATTAGTGTCCCTGACACGTTTCACGTCGTGAACTTCATGTTCACGTCGTGACTTAAGGCGGCTAGGGTTTCAGTCACGTGTCATGTTCTCAACAGCTACATCTCCGGAAGGCCATAACTTTTACATACGAGATTCGTTTTTGACGTTCTTTATATCCACGTGAAGGTGGAGACGTACTCTACAACTTTCTTTTAGAAACCTAAGGTTAAAAAGTAGTCTATCATAAAATCACTTTTTACGATTCCCGGTGTCGTGCCGGTTTTGTCGTGAATCTTCGACAGGTCATAACTTCTTCGTTATAACTCGGATTTCGACGTTCTTTATATGTACGGAAACCTTGTGACATATACTACAACTTAGTTAAGATTATTTATTCTAAATAATCCTCTATCAAAAAGTCATTTTTTTGACGCTTATCGTCTCTAAATTGACTAGCCCGAATCCGCGGGCGTTACACCAAACATCGTTGGTGAGCTCAAAGAAATCAAACCAAAAAAATTCAAAAATAAACTTGCTGCAACCACTCAATCACTGTGGTGACCCTGTGAGAAATTGATAAGCTAAATCAAAACCACATTCGTTGATTTTTATGATCAGGAAACCCCCACAAACAAAGAGTTCCATGGGAGAAAATTTGTTGAAAAAAGAAGACAATCCTCCAACTCCTTCCTCTTTTTGTCTGATAGCTTATTTTATTTCCTTATTTTTATTAGTTTATTTTAGATTTTTAGATCTTTTTATCATTATTGCATTGTATTTTATTTATTTTTTCTTTAGTATGGATCGTACCGGGTGCTTTTTATGTTGCATGAGGTATTTTGCAGGGTTTTGGAGCTTATCGCGATTGTGGATTAGAGTGAAGACGGACTTGTGGGCTTTCGATGCATTATTGGGCTTGGCGGATCCAACAAAGAAGAATTGGGCCTTAAAGAGTTGAAGACTTGGATATTTTGGGCTTGTGAAGATGGATCATGGATAATTAATTTGGGTTTGGAGCATCCACATTTGAAGCTAAAAGATGATTGGTTGATTTGAATCACATGGATATGGAGGGGACCAAAGGAATCTTTGGTAGTGGAAGGGTGGAGTGGTGGAATGAAGGACCAATAGCATTACAGCAACATTTGCGCGGGTGGAATTTTCGTCGTGCGGGTACCCGCGCAACTACCCAGTTTGGGCATTTTGGTCATTTGGCTTGCCATTACCTTGGGGAATCAGATCTATCAGCCATAACTTCGATTTTACACTATTGGAGACCTGCAAGAGGCGATTTTGGAGCTAGAAACCCATTTCTCTTCATATTTCCAAGATTTTTGGTAGTTTCTTTATGCAATTAGACTTTTGTGATTGCTGTTCTATTGCCATGAGTGGCTAAACTCTTTATATTGGTTAACTTTGGTTAAAAACCTTTGAATGTTTGTGGGTTTTTGAAGGATTCATGCTAGATTATCAATTATCTTATGTTTATGGTTCTAGATCATATTTCTTATGCTTGTTTAATGCTTTGATCATGAGCTTGGCACTTGAATGAGCTATTGTTAGTTTATTTCTTTGGTTTTGCATTGAATCATTGAATTAACTTAGAACAAGGGCTTTATGATGGTAAAAATCATCTCTAGTTTATGAATCATAGCTCCTTTATGGATGTGTAAGCATTGACATCCTCTAGGAATTGGGGATTCCTTCTTTCTTAAGGCTAATTGACTTCTTGGGTTCAATTGCTGCAATTAAACCCTTGATCTTGATTAAGAAGGTGTGTTGTGGGCTTCCCCAACCTCCATACTACCTAAGAGGAATCTTGGCATATCATGCTTCATGATTGCTATAACCAATTTGGGATGAATGATAAGCTTCATGTTGAATCCTAATGATAAGCACACAAATGTTCATTGTGTTGAATTGCCTTGGTTAACCAATTGTTCCCAACATTTGAGCATCTCACTATCTTGCTTAATTGCAAGTTTTTAGTTATTCAAGTCTTTTAGTTTTCAAGCAATCATAACACCCCCCCTTTTTAGTTTAATTGTAGTTAGTTAGTTTATTTACAATAGTTCTTTTAGATTGCATTGGTGATTGAATACAACCATTTCCCCGAGGATCGATACCCCTTTTTATCATTATATTACGTTTTATTTGTAAACAAAGGGTGTAATTTGCTTGGTGGACTTGACATCCCACCATTGTCGCCATAAGCCGCTTGCACCTCAGAGTAATACCATTATCGCCATGAAACCTCCTCACACTGGAAGCTTCATCGAGGAAACTATAAACTACCACCAAATACCGCCTCCTCCTCTCTTTAATATGTAACCCCACCTGTAACCCTCGTGATTATAATTTGTGTTTCTTTACATGAGAATTGGTCATTTTCTTTAACAAGCACTACCACCTGCACTAGTAGTCTTCTCCGACCAACAACATCACCACCGATGATATCAATCACTCACTAAAAACTCGAATTTGATGAATCTAATTGTTACCATCAAAAATCATTTTTCATATGCAAAAATGGATGCTTAAAAGGGAGAGGAGGAGAGGAGGGGAAAGGTGAGGAAACATGTTCTATAGGGAAACAAAACTTTAAAACAGATATGTTGTTGCTTCATTGTGTTCCTGATAACAGTTTCAGTGGACGAGGATAGTGGCAATAAAATGATATAATGTCTCGATGTACTACCGTCTTTGCTCAATCGATCTCTCTCACAACTTGCATCAAGGGAGATCGGGACCGGAGGAGAAAATCGATAACGAAACATGTAACATTAGAAGGTTGCAGATCGAGACCGGTGGAAGGCAAGGATTTGTATGGTGGCGACGAGGACTCTTCCAAGTTACGTCGTCGGTGATGTTGAAGAAATCGACGAGATTTTAGGCTTTGACTTTGACTGCTTATGTCACTGGTGATGTTGAAGACGCCAATGGGATTTAGGGCATGGTTTTTAAGTTATCCGGCGAGAGAGTGAAACGGTGAGACCGTGAGAGGGATAAAAATGTGGGTGGTTTTTTTTTTCTTTTTTTCTTTTAAATCAAATTGATAAATAAATAATAAAAAATGAAGGTAAATAGTTTTTATTTTTTATTTTTTTTATATGTAAGGTAGGGACTAACGACGCAACAAAAACATAATACGAGGATTGTTGCGTTAGAATAAAAAGTTATGGACCAACCGTGCAAATTAACACAAATCACATGGACCATTGTGTAATTTACTCTTATTATTATTTACAATATTTTTGTAGCTTTAAGAACATACCACAAATCACATGGACCATTGTGTAATTTACTCTTATTATTATTTACAACATTTTTGTAGCTTTAAGAAAAGATGTTCAATAAATCATACGTCAGCAAACATAAATCATGCACCACCTATTACATGCATCTTCATCGCCATTCCTTTTTATTCAACGCAGTTTTACGTCAATCGTCTTCTGTTAATGCTTTTATCATTTTCCGATCATCCTCCTCTCTTGATGAATTTCATATATCCTTTGAATCCGTTCTTCCTTTCTGGAAGCAAGACCTCAAATCCTATAATTATGATATAATCATGCTAGGAATTTGATTACTAGCCTTTAATTTTCCGGGGGAGGAAAATTACAGAACGAATTGAATACCATTAACCATGATCAGAAACTCACCGCCAGGAAATATCCCGGCGAATTCATACAATGATGGCAATGTACAACGGCAGAAGCCGGCGGGAAAGTTAAAAAGCAACAACGATCATCATCCCATGGATATTGGGGATCAGCTGTCTTTTCGTTTGAACAATCGCCCCCCGCCATTAGAGGATATTGATTCACCGACGGAGGATGACGCATCTCTACGGGATTCATATACATCACGTCTGCTCTTTGGTCCTTCGACATCGCACCAGCTGTCACCGTTGACAAGATCTCCATGGTCGTCTTACGTAGAAAAATCCTTGCCGGATTGCTCTGATTCTCATTCTAATTACACTGGTTTATTGGCTTCCCTCGTCCGTGAAGAAGGGAATATATATTCGTTAGCTGCGACGGGGGATTTGCTCTATACCGGATCTGATAGCAAGAACATTCGCGTTTGGAAAAGCCAAAAGGAATTTTCCTGGTTCAAATCTAATAGCGGGTTGGTTAAAGCAATCGTAATCGCCGATGAGAAAATCTTCACCGGCCACCAGGACGGAAAAATTAGGGTTTGGAAGGTTTCGCCTAGGAACCCTAGCTCCCATAAAAGGATTGGAACGTTGCCCACTTTCAAATCCGTGGTGAAAAAATCGATGAAACCAAAGAATTACACCGAAGTGAGAGGAACTCAAAGAATTTGGATCAAACATTTCGATGCAATTTCTAGTCTTAGCTTCAGCGAAGATCAATCGCTTCTTTATTCAGGTTCATGGGATACGACGATTAAAGTTTGGAAGGTATCAGATTTCAAGTGCTTGGAGTCAATAACTGCACATGAAGACGCCATCAACTCGGTGGTCACCGGATTCGATGGTATGGTTTTCTCAGGATCAGCAGATGGAACAGTGAAAGCATGGAGGAGGGAGTTTCAAGGGAAGAGAACGAAGCATTTCTTTATCGACAACTTGTTGAAGCAGGAATGCGCAGTTACGTCGTTGATTGTTAACCAGTCGGGGACGGTGCTTTACTGTGGCTCCTCCGATGGATTTTTGCATTTCTGGGAACGAGAGCGGTTATTGTCCCGCGGAGGGCTTTTGAGAGGCCATAAGCTGGCGGTTCTATGCTTGGCGGCGGCGGGTAATTTGGTTTTCAGCGGTTCAGCGGATACGAACATTTGTGTGTGGAGGAGAGAAGGAGGAGGAGAACATAAATGTTTGTACATGTTGAGCGGACATACTGGGCCGGTGAAGTGTTTAGCGGTGGAGGATGAGCGGCGGGTGGGGATGGCGGTGTCCCGGTGTAATAATAGTAACAGGGTTTGGACGGTGTACAGTGGAAGTTTGGATAAGTCGGTGAAGGTATGGAGGGTGTCTACAGAAACGGAAACGGAAAGCCGACAACCGACGGCGAGTGCACCGTCACACCGCCGGAGAAACTCTTCTTCAGGACAAATCTTCGCACGCAGGCGAGATTGAGCCGGCGACAACTTATTGGAGAATATGATGTACAACCCTGTAATGCGTCAATGTACAAATCCTTATATGTGTAAAAGTAAAAGTAAAACAACTCCTCATTTGTCAAAATCGTGATTCCACTACCAAAAACCCATGAATCCGCCAAAATTAGAGTTTTTGTTAGTAAAAAATAATTCTTAACATGAGGGTGATAACTGGGTAAAGTTCTAAACAAACGTGATAAGGTTAACTCGACAATATGTTATCTGTTATATGTTTTCATATTATTTTTATTAATTCTTTGTAACAGTTAAGTGATTATATATAAAAGCTAGCAATGAAACACAAACCAAGTTTATAGCCAATAGTGAGGTTTACAACTATACCATCCAATTAACTATGTCTATAGTTTTACTACTTCCATGCATGCAGTATCCATCAAAAATATAACATGACAATCCTATGAAAAATAGATTGTCATTTCGTTGCTTTTAAGACTCAAATAATACCGTGTTTCTATGTTTACATAAGTAGGAATAAGGGTGAGATAATGTGAATGGAACCTAACATAATGGGACGGGACTTGAACCCTCAACCTCAAGGAGGGAGGGTCACACCAGATACCGCTGGGCTAGAAGCCTTTTGGTTTTAAATGGGTTTTGACTTTTGAGTAATAAAAAGCTCGGATCAGTTCAGTATATGAATTAGGGGTGAAAATTATTTGGTCCGGAACCGAAAAACCCGAAAACCAAATCGATCCTAAATCGATTTCAGACCGAACCATATTCAAACTCGGTTTTTGGTTTGGTTTGAGACCAAACCGAATTGCAAATTTGGTTTTTGATTCGAGTTTCGGTCTTATGAAGTTTAAACTAAACCGAACCCGAAAACCGAATTTCATAAATCAATTAGTTCAAAAATATATTTTATATTTTATATTAAATAAAAGTATTAATTTTAAAGTAAAAATAATTTTAACCCATTTACTCTTTGGATCATTTTGTATGAAACTTTAGATCTTTCTGTTTGTAACTTTAGGTTTCTATGTTAAAAACATTTTAATTTATGTTTGAAAAATTTTTAAGTTAATATTTGGTTTCCTTGGTTTTCAAACCGAACCAAACCGAATTAGAATTCGGTTTTCGGTTTGGTCTAGAAAATTTGAATTCGATTTGGTTCGGTTTTCGAATTAAACAAAAAAAATTTCAAACCGAAGAAATCGATTCGAGGAAACCGAAAAACCAAAAAACCGAACCGATTCCCACCCCTAATATGAATTGGTTTTAAATTTGTAACAAATACTCAAATAATTTGGTTCGGTTTTGAAACGGAAAAAACCAAATGAACCCGTTTTGGTTGTGGTTCGTTTTTAAAGCCAAAAACCAGTCTCCTAAACACTGTTTTTGACTTTTGTTTTACTTTGGGCCTCTTAGATGAATTTAAGGGCCTGGTTTTTAAACTTATCAATCTTTTACTATTTCTTCTTTTTTTTGCTTTGGGTCTCCATAAGATAATACGTGGTCGGTGGTCCACACTACACACAATTAAGGAAACATTTAAACAAGTCAACATTTTAGTGTTTTACTTAGCGGCTTAAAAGAGTCGAGCCAAGCTTGAGTTTAGGTCGGCTCAAACTCAATTAGTTTAAATATATGGGGCTCGGCAAGTTTTGAGCTTAATTGAGTTCGATTTGGGCTCGATTGTTTGTCAATCAAACCTAAACGAGCTTAAGCCCGCTCAAACTCGTCTCTACTAAAAGTTAAATATCAAGCTCGTTTGTGTTTTAAAGGTAGTTAAAAAAGTATGTTTATCATTATTTGATAGTAAATAATTATCCGATAGTAATTTAATATATAAATTAAAAATAAAAACTATATTATATTAATATACATAGGCTCAATTAAGTTCGCGAGTCTAATTGAGTTCGACAGACGAAACTCGGGCTCAAACTCATTTAATAAACGAGCCTCAAAACTAAGTCCGAGCTCTTGTCGAGCTTGTTACGAGTAGTTCGGCTCATTTACACCCTAGTTTTACTTTCTTGTTCATTTCAAAAGTACAAAATAATTATTAACTTACAAAATTATAAATAGAGTAAACAAGATGTTTGTTTGCCATGCGTTGCGGCAACGACAATCTATTTTGACGAATTATGGGTTGCATGTGTAAATATATACGAAGTATTTAACAAACATGTAAAAACTATACGAAAAGTTCAAAGCCGAATGAGTCAAAGTAAAAAATTTACAAAGTTGAGTGGTAGTAACTGTAGGAAAATCATATTATATATACTGAAACATACAAAAAAAATAAGCACGTAAAAATTAGTTTTTTTAAAGTTAATGAACGAAAGTTATTATGGACAATAAGATTATATATATACTACGAGGGATAAACATGAAAGTTTAGAAAATTAAGGGGGTAAAAGTGACATTTTACAAAGTTAAAAGTAGAAGGGATCAAAGTGTCACAACTCCAAATTTTAGACCTTGCATGGTCTAAACCCTAACCAAGTACTAGTGTAAACTATATTGCAATCCTTGTTGCATGGTGTCCTCTATAGCCTTAGGGCTTGTTTATAGAGCTAACAAAGAAGTATATAAATAAACCTAAACTAAATTAGGAAGGTATAATCTAACTTTGGGCAAAAGATTAAGGTTTGAAACATAAATAACACATCATAGATGTGTTTACGGCCAAAGAGTTCTAGAATAGATATGTTCACGGCCAATGTATTCTAGAAGAAGAAGGGTTCACGGCCTAAAGCAATTAAAGGAAAGGTGTTCACGGTTAGGAAGACAATCCAAAATGGAGTTCACGGTTTGGGACTTGGAACCAAAGGGTGTTCACAGTTACTTTATGACCGTGAACCCCTCTTATTGGGCTGTAATCCCCATTTCAAGTCCATTTGTAGACAGTAAACACTAAAGCCCAATACCACTTCAACCGTAAACACCCCTATATATGTGTTTTCACTCTGAATCAATTCATTTCCTCATTTCTCAAGCATGAACCACTCCAAAATCCTCTCAATCTTCATCCGTGAATAACCTCATTTCCTCTCAATCTTCAAAGGTTTATGCACAGAATCTTCAAATCTTCAACCAATTCACCAAGAACATTCATAATATCTTCAAATCTTCATAAATTCCACAAGAACACCAAGATCTAACCGTGAACACCATAACCTCCAACCGTAAACCCCATTTTCCAACCAAAAACTCATTTGCAACCATTCCAAATAATTTCCAATTAATTTGTAAGTATTCCTTACATAATTAAATTATTATTTAACCATCATTTAAATTATTATTCTTATTAATTTAAATACGTCGTCGGGTATAATTATTTTTTAGGATACGACTACTGTCACGTATTCTAATCCGAGGATCACCGTTAGCACTTCACAACTCAATCGAGCACACACATTTAATGTGAGTTAATACCCCTACGTTTTTAATATTTTTCCATGTTTTTAGGGGGGAATACAAGTACAACACAATTAAATTTGTGTAAACATTCAAACGATTTCAACGGTTACAGACAATTTCAAATGACTATAAACTATTTCAAACAGTTACAACCATTGTTCTTACAATAACATACTTTTATATATAAATTTGTTATTTATATAAACACGAGTACAATCCTTTAATCCTTTGTAATATGTTGAGCAAAGGAAAACTTTTTAGAATAATCACATTTCCAATTGATCATTTTTATAAACTATAGTATGTATAACTTATGGAACACCGACATCATATTTACGAAATACAGAGTTACAAAACAAACAAACATATAAACTATAATTGGTATAGTTTATGAAACATAAGTATTATCTTACCAAGTACAAATTTTATCACAGTAACGAACATATAAACTATATTAGGTATAGTTTATGGAACATATAAACATACATTCATTTCAAAGGATTTTCAGATATTCTACACTTAACCGTCGATATAGCTTTGTGAGATAACGTCTTCAAGTACTTATTTAAGTGCCAACAAAAGTTCTGACCTTAATAACCAGAGTCTCCTGGAGGGAGAGCATGAATTTGTGTATAGATCTATACGGGATTGACAACCCCGCACCCCGACTGTTAGCTACAGTTGGAACGGAAGTTCTGGGGTGACAAATGTCATAAGCGATTTTTCGACGCCTGAAGAACGTCGAGTCAGGCCATCCGTCATATTATGTATGGTTATGAGAACTCACAATTTGGTATCAGTAGTACGGTTAGTGTGTGAATATATGTAAACAAACTTCACATAGTTTTATTATTTATAAAACTACAACAAAGGATTTTTACGAACCAGTATGATCTAAAGGACTCTTATTGCTAATCCTAAGGTTTCTTGGTTTATACATCAGGGTTATATATAGATAATATCCGATAGGCAGTGGGATGAGTGCTTTCCGCCTTACTTCCTGTTCCTTATTTGGTTGTGGGCTTAGGGCAGAATCACTCAATCAACTGTCCGTTCGATCTTGTTGATATATAATTCGTATGCACTAAGTAATCATAGGAGGAATAGATATGGGTCACCCAACACGTACCAGTATAACATACCTTATTCTAGATCAGAACTTACAATTCTGGGAAACATATATCAAAACAGTTTTATCAAATAACCGACTAACAAGTATACGAAACTAGCGTACATCAACATGCAAACATTTTGGTCTTAGGGTTTAAGACTAATTCTTAAGTATATTAAGTATGATATTTATACTTGAACTTTCAGTTTTGGAACATTAGAGACAACAATTCACTTTTATGGAAAAGATAGGATTTTCCAGGGTCAACATCATTATTTTACAAGCAAACTATTTACCATTTAACTTACGAACTATCATTGTTAATTCTATGATTCCTTAAGTTTATACATCCAGGTTATAGATGAAGAATATCCGATAGGCAGTGGAATGTGTGGTTTCCGCCTCATTTCCTGTTCCTTGTTTGGTTGTGGGCTTAGGGCAGATCTACACATTCAACTGTCCGTTCAATATTTGTTTAT